AGAGGGCGAAGGGCGTCATGACGGCGGTGGCGACGAGGTTACGGTAGACGACGAGCACGAAGTGGCTCATCCCGGCCTTGAGGGACGCCACAGCGATGATGTACATCCCGGCGAACCCCACCTGCAGCAGCACCATCGCCAGGTATGGCTTCACATCGTTCACAACTTTCCACCCCATACCCACCCTCTCTCTCTTTCTCTCTGGTTGGCTAGCTTAGCTTCCTTCTCACTAAAAATCACAAGTCTAAGCTTCCCTTTCACTCACTAGCTCGAGCTTGATGTTTCTCACTCTCTCGCTGGCAAGCAAATGGCTGCGATGGATGAGGCGATGAGCTCAGGCCGAGGCCCGTCTCTTTTATATAGGCGCGTGCACGCTCGATTGGCACTGTGCGGCGCACACTACACGTAGCCCATGGGTGGATCCGAGTCATGGATGTGTCCCAGTGCTAGCTTAGCTATATGCTCCATTCCCAGTTTAATATTCCACTTCCACGCAAAGGAGAACAAATATCTCTCTCTCTCTCATCTCATTAATTTGTATTGTTTACGGACAGGGGCGTAGCTACGTACAGCTACCCGGTGTCACTGGCAGCGGGTCCAATCTACACTTGCTTAAGATAATCCATTAATTTAGTGTGTAGGTCATTTATTTTTTGATGCGTTTTTCTATGTGGACACCGGGTAATCTTGAGTCTGGGTCCGCCCTGTTTACGAAAAATGATGGGAGCACGTACAGCAAAATGGCGGTGGGTTTGGATAACTTTCCGGCCACCTGAGGAGAATGCTTGCTCGCGACAGCGAATTGTGTTAAGCCGTCGGAGTCAATGTATATGGGAGTTGTGTTAATTAGCTGCTGGACATAGGCCTTTCACTTTGCCCCTAGATAGTGCTCTTGCGCCGACAGGCGACAACCATCCATGTTCATGCATGCATCCATCTGCATAGTGTCTAGACTAGCTAGAATCAGAATACTGTTGATGAGTTAAATCAGCTAAAAAAATCAGCTAAAAGATGTACTAAATTAATACAAAGTTAAGTCACTTATTTTGGGACGGAGGGAGTAGCATTAATACTATGCTACTAAAGTGTCTGCCATTTCTCTTGGCCTAAATGCCTCATTGTAAACCAAGAGATTCTTCCAAAAAAGACGAGAACCATATATGAGTATCTTATTTCTGCTAATAAAAGGCATGATATCATACAGTAATGATTTTTGAAGGTCGAATTAGGTTCACAGAAGAAAATGAAGACAACTGCCGCTAGAATTTCTACCTGGTTCCCCTCGCTGCCGATCCAGCCGCCGTTTTAATGCTGTGAGGCGGGGAACCTAGGGTGCTCGTACGTGTGTTTCAATAGTCATTTTAAGATGAGTTTTGTGCTCCTCAACGGCAACAAACCCACGGTGGATGTTGTGTCATGAAAACAAAGGCCATATGGTTCTTCCCCTGCCGCGGCGATGCTTTTTGGGGCAGCGTCACAGCGCCAGAGCTATGTTTCCTCTATATGTTTGGTGCAGCTATTCTTGCGGAGTTTAGGTTTATGTCCTCGCAAGACCGATCTTTCCGATCTGTTGAGTTTTTGCCACATTGACTTGATGCTTTTGTTGCATAATGGATTATCTGCCATTCTGGCACGTGCTCTGTTGTTGTGTACTTTATCAACTTCTCTCTCTCTCTCTCTCTCTCTCTCTCTCTCTCTCTCTCTATCTATCTATCTATCTATCTATCTATCTATCTATCTATCTATCTATCTATCTATCTATCTATCTATCTCTCAATTTATCCACTCAATTATTTTTCATTTGATTTCCATGTTTGTATCAATAATATCTTTTAAATCGAACAAACATTATGATTTCTTTGCATATTTGTGTTCCTGATGACGAGAGCTTTGAAACAAGACCAATGTTGAATAAATTTCGACAAATTTGAATTTGGAATTTTCAATCATGATGAAGCCTTATGCAACAAAAACTATAGACATTTACCTAGCAAACTGTAATAATATATCAAAATTTTACAACGGGATTTATTGTGTGTCATTGCAGATCAAAGTGATGCATAGGGAACTTGGTAACAGTTAATAAATGTGTTGCAAACATAATTTTATGAGTTTGTATTGAACATGCATTCTTATAAAGTTTCAATAGGCCTTTTCGTGTTCTAGAGTGCATCAGTATGTTCCATAGAGTTTTATCATGTTGCGTGAAAACGGGAGAAGTTTTCACGTTATGCCAGAAAGGTTAATTGTGGTTCTGCATGTTCTAAATCATATCAAAATGTATCATTCTATGTCAATGCGCTGCAAACATAACTAAGAAGATTTTGTATGAACATTCATTTATCAAGTTTTATTAGTTTCTTCGTGTTCTAGAGTGCATCATCATGTTTCATAAAGTTTCACCATGTTTCGGAATTTGAATTTTAAAATTGCCAAAATAGATTCAAGAGTGCTCTTGTTTGAAAGTTCTTATCTTAAGGAACAAAAATATTCAAACCATTTTTCAACTAGACTCTCGATTTAAATGATAAAATGGATTAAACCTTGGAATCACATGAAAAAAGCATGCATGTGGTTGGAGCATAGCATGGAATCTCTGCCACAAAAGCTAGCTATAGGAAAACTTGCCAGCATGAATGGAGGAAGTGGGGGCCTATATTGTTAGGATTAATCTTGAGTTAGTCGCAAGTCTAGGTTGCCGTATGAAACCAAGCTACTACTGACCAAGAAATGTCCAGCATTACATTTGTAGCTATCAGATTTTGCAGCATGATATATACTGGACAATCTGATCATGTTAATGGCTGCTATCGAGCTTTTAGAGAACTCTACACCATCATAATCTTCTTTAACACGCAAAGGAACAGAAGGGTCTTCTCCATGAGCATTGAAATAGACACCATAAGAATAATTCATCCTGCAGATCATTATAGTTTTGGCAAAGTATTGTATGCAATGGGCATACAATATAACATCGAAGAATTTAACAAGTGTCTTTCACTTGCCTAAATGATGTGATGTTACTTGCATAGCCTTGGTCTTGTTCTTCTCAGAGCAGACAATACAACTTTCTTTAGTCTGAATGTCAGATCATGATAGTTGAACAGATCAGCACATCCTTGTTTTAACATTGCCATTCACTATGAGAGCGAGAACCAGATCATCGCACCAGTGTCTTGCGTTTTCCCACTGTCATTATCGCTGCAACATGTTGAAGATGAGTATTTTGAATATCAGTATTTGACTAATTTATCTATAAATACACAAGAACTGAAAAGAGTCAATTGCACAAAACCACCACATTTGCGGCTAGGTTTGCAGAAAACCACCAAGTCGGTAATCCGTTGCAGAAAACACCGCGATTTCAATAATCCTGGTGCAAAAAGCACTGATTGGATGATTTGACTCGTTTAATCACTTGCTGTCAGGTGGGGCCAGATTGTCAGGATCTAACTTAGCAAAAAAAAAAACACACGCACACACACCCCTACAGATCTTTAAAAAACGCAATCGAGTCCCTCCCCATCTGGGCCAGCTACTTTTGCGGCGGCGACGGATCGCATGTTCAGCCCGCGGGGCTGGACTGCTGGAGCTCGCTTCCGATGCTCCGGCGGCTTTGGCGATGAGGCGTCGCGCGGTGAGGCGGACCTTGCCGGTGCGGACGGCTATGGAGCGGAGGAGGCTGCCGGCGGAGAGCACGTCGACGGTGGCGGCCAGGTAGGCGATGTGGAGCGTCTCGGCGTCCGCCATGGATGGATCTTGGAGGTCCACCGACATGGTCTCTCCCACGAGAACCAACAGGAATGGTGGCTGCCGCAGGGAGCCCGTCCCTAAGCCTGCGCTGCTGCCGGGAGCCCGCCCCTGCAACCCCTCGCCCCTTCCCTTTCCTTCCCGACGCATCTCTGCAGAGGAAGGCCTGGGCTCACCGGCGAAAGAGATCGAGGGTGAGGAGC